GGACTTACAAGCGCACAGGTGGCGGCCGACCAGCGGCATTTACTACCACACCGGCTGCCACTGGTGAAGTTGAACGGCTAAGTCCCATCTGGCTTGCGGAAGGGCTGCACCTGGAGTGGCTGGCCGGTGCTATTGTTTCGCAGCCACCCAGACTTTCCCAGCACCAGGTTTTATATTATAGAATACAGAAAACAGAGAAAAACGGGGCATACAGATGGAGGGGACAGGCCAGTGTAAGATCAAAACATTCGCTGTTTACAATGCATGCTCCTATCTAGAAGCAGTTTCTCTTTGGCCTTTCTTCTGGCCAGGTTCCCAAGATCTCTCAGTCCGATTACAGATGGCCTCCACTGTATTTCCCATAGGGTGGGAGGGGGAGCTGGAGCATGGGAAGGGGCCCATGTCCCCATTTGCTATACAATATGGTAGTTCTATTTTTAATTTCTTGAGAAAATAAATACTTCATACTATTTTCCAGATGGTCATTCCTCAGCCAGTGGCTAGAGTAAGGGACCATGTAGGGTAATACTCCTGGCTCCAAAAAGGAAGGTTGGTAAGAACCTACTGAGTTTTCAAACCCTACACACTCACTGGGAAAATAATCCTAGAAGATGACTCAGAAAAGCTAGAGATTGTATAAACCAGGAAGGCAGAGGAGACAGAGAACTGGAGAAAAGGGATACAGGTGTGCACAGATAATCCTTGGGTGGCAGAGATCTGTGGCTCAGTACTGCAATTGTGCCTAAGTTACCACAATTAGGAATTTGTGTTAGAACTCAGAGGACAGCTTTGAAAAATATCTACTTTTCACCTTTCTGAGATTGATGAGAATTGGGGAAGCCTGGATTGCATATTGAGTGAGGTTCTGAGTAGATCCAGTAATGGAAAGATTGGAGAGGGAGAGTTTGTGAATTCAGGCAGTGTGGCATATGGGGAAGGTTTTCATTGTAGGTTAAAGACTTCTGTTAAAGAAACCTAATGGCCTGGATTTAAATCCTAGTTGTCATCTAAGAGCTCAGTGTCTTTGGACAATTTACATAACCTCTCTATGCCTCACTTTCCTTCTCTGTGAAATGAGGAAAACAATAGTAGTTCTTTTTAGGGCAGTTGTAGTGCTATATAGGTGATAGCTTTTATAAGAAATCATGAAATGAATAGCAATAAACCATAGCCTAATTATACATTTCTATGTATGTATTCAATACCCATACTATGTGTTGCACACACCTATATAGAAATCCTATATAACAAAGAGGTAATATGCAAATTGACCCTCACACCCTTGCACAAGATGGCCGCCCCCATATTGTCAAAGATGGCTGCCCCCATGTAGTCAAAGATGGCTGCCACAAGATGGCACGGGATGGTAATTAAGGGCAATCAGGCCAGCAGAGAATGGCAGTTAGGGGTGAGCAGGCCAGCAGGGAAGGGAGAGCAGTTGGAAGGAACCAAACCTGCAAGGGAGGGAAATTGGAGGCGACCAGGCCAACAGGGGAGGGCACTTGGGGGCAACCAGGTCAGTAGGGGAGGGAAGTTGGGGACAACTGGACTAGCAGGGGAGCAGTTAGGCATCGATCAGGCTGGCAGGGGAGTGGTTAGGAGCAGTCAGGCAGGCAGGCAGGCGAGTAGTTGGGAGTCAGCAACCCCAGATTGTGAGAAGGATGTCCGACTGCCAGTTTAGGACCGATCCCACAGGCAGTCGGAAATTCCCTGAAGGTTCCCAGATTGGAGAGGGTGCAGGCTGGGCTGAGGGACACCACCCTAGCGCACCCTCTTCTCCCCCCCCCCCCCCCCCAGTTCACAAATTTTGTGCACCAGGCTTCTAGTATATTAATAAAGGAATCATTAAATGAAAGAAATTTAGGCAATCTTATTAATTTGCCCTAGAAAACTTCAGACTCAAGTCTAATGTAGTGTTTGATGGACCATAGGGATAAGTAGATGAAGAAAATTTGCAACCTATGAAAGAATTGTATCTCACTGAGCAATACATTCTCCAGCAGAATCCTAGACTATGGATTCTGGCTATGATGAAGGACTTAGCAGGTCTGGCTATGATGAAAGACTTAGCAGTGCCCATAAACTCACTGAATTTTTAAATATTTATTTTTAAAACTAACATATGAATAAGTAATGAACAAATTCCCTTTCTTCTCATTTATGAGCTATGCCCAAGTTATCCTTATAACCTGAGCTTAAATCTACCACTTCCTACCACTTTTGCTGTGTGTATGGAGAAACAATTTCATTGGGAAAATATCTATGCATTTGGCTGTCAAATTTTGCAAGTATAGTATAATATGCATTTATGTATATTTTTTGGAAGGTTGTGCAATAGAAAGGAGATGAGATTACCCAGTTAACAATAAACAAATAAAGCTAATATGAATAGTCAACTTCTGTTTTTTAAGCAGAATTCTCCAATTCAAAATGGTATTGTGGAAACAAATAATCACAATGGCCAGTTTCTCTCAACTCTTCCACTTCACTCCATTTCCTATGGCAGCTAAAATCAGAAAGAAGGTGGGTGGTATTGTTATGCTCTAATAATGTAACTTATAAATTATTTTCTAAAACTGTCTTAGGTTTAGCTCATTGATTCATTTACTCACACTAGACAGACCTACATTTGATGTCTGCTCTGCTTGTTCTCAGTGTGTAGCTCAAAATTTTCAACTTGAAGCTTCAGTTTCCTCTTATGTGAAGTGGCCAAATATTAGTCACACATCCTCAGAGGTACTTAAGGACTTGAAATAGTACTTAGTACATACTGAGGGTTTAAAAATTCTAGCTATGACTATTTTATTCTAAATTTATAGGTTACCTTATAACTATGCTCTTGTATTAAGACAATAACTTAAGTTTGTTCTTGGATTTAAGAAAATCCAGTGGTTCTGCAGCTTGTATTTAACATGGGCATTTATTTCTTCATGAATTACAATGGATCTGTTATGGACCTGAACTTTATATTAGCTCATTGACAGGTTTAGATAAAAGAGAAGAATTTGATATTCAGTTCATTAATTGTGTAAAGCTAAGGAATCAGCAGCCTACACAGCTGAATGAAAATCCTAGAAATGGCCATTTTAGCAAATGTGCTTACAAAAAGGCACCAATGTATTAAGGCTTTTCTCAAGTAGTACCTAAGTAGAGAAAGACATTTACTGCTAGACTCTCAAAGCAGAAAAACATCACATAGTTTAAATTCTAGGTTTTGGTAAGAAAAAAAAAAAAGATATTTTTATTACAGTATATATTTAAAGTTCATTTTTGAATTTTTTCTTGTTCAGTTAACTAAAAGTCATTCTTAGGCATAATTTGAATTTATTCTTAGGCATAATTTGAATTCAATATTAAAAGTTTTCTATTGACTTGACTTACAAGACAAATTATGCAAATTTCTAAAATCTATACTGTTGTCCTTTTTGCTTAGTTTAGGTGGTAAAATAACTAATAAAAGAGAAAACTCTCCTTAGTAAAGAAGAACTTAGGAGGTTGAGTCCAAGCAAATGTCAGGATATAAAGTCAATATGCTCATAAATGAGAAGAAAGGGAATTTGTTCATTACTTATTCATGTGTTAGTTTTAGAAATAAATATTTAAAATGTCTAAGTAACTAGCACTGTACTAAATGCACTGGGGACAGAGGCTCATGTAAAATTGTGCTCTGTCTTCAAGAAGCAAAGGAAGACTGGGCCATCAATGATTATACCACAGTGTAGAAAATGTTTCATTCTCAAGCAGATATAGGATGCTATTGGAATACCATGGGAGGGAAGAAGAAAACTACAGAAAGAAGAAAAAAATAAGCTGCAGAGAGAAGACACAAAAGAGACTCAGAAAAAGCAAAAGCAATTTTAATAAAGAAAATGTCCACCCTTCTAAAATAAACACATTTAATACTTTATGTGTATACTACATCAAAGCTATGTATTGTTCTTTAAAATATATTTTCTCTATATGATTCTGCGGCTCAATCATGATTACAGGATACATGAAATTAAGTGTATTAACATGATATAACTACTCAAGATTCTATATAGTGCATTATTTAAAAGACTTCACATAGTTTATATAGATCAACATGGGCTATATGAAGTGTTTTCAGCTTTCAGGTATTTATCCCTGCTAGCCAGGATGGTTATTCTTTTTTTACATTGTATCTTGGTGCCCTTTTTTGAAGATGGACACTGAAAAGTAAAAATAAAATACTATATGGGCACTGATGTATGGAAAATACACTTAATGTTTTTATACATTGTGAGCTGTAAATGCTTTTTGAATTGCGGGTATATTTATGCTAGAAAGCTTGAGAATTTGACAAATACCGAACAATTTGTGAAGAATGAAAAACCCCTTGACCATCAATTCAAATAAACAGAATTCAAACTAATTACTTTGAAATCCTTTGATTGTTGGGTACCAAAACAGTTTTAAAGTTAGGGAACTGCTTTCCCACCTAACTCTTGTGGGTGGCCCAATCTCCCATTGTATTCACAGAGAAGTATACTTGTATGCCTTTCTTTTTTTTAATCATAAGTGATAATTAGAAGCAAATTAAATCCTGCTTAAAATTATATATATATATATATATATATATATATATATATATATATATATATATATATATAGCTCCTGAATGACTTTAGACTGTAGGTATGCAAGACATAGACTCTCTTTTACCTCCACATCCTGGATGCTATTTGCATGCTGCTACCTCTGTAACAGCCTGAAACAATGCTGATCATTACATCAGGATCATCCAATCTAGTGACAATCTAATCAGGATGGCTCAATGTAGTGAGAATATAAGATGTAGTGCTTCTAAAGTTGTTAACAGTAATACTTTAAAGAAAGTTCATTCCAACAAATATAATATAAAAAGTTTTTGTAGTATATGCATAAATTTACAAAAAGCACTTCAAGGATGTCTGGTCAAAACTATTGTCAGAAGATTCCAAAGCCCATACATGTTTGTTTGTTTGTTTGTTTGTTTTTTCTCCAAATGTAATTGTGACAACTACAAGAAAAGCAGTGAAAATCAAGACAGGGAGATCTTGGCCTTTCCTCAATGAGTTCAACCCCATTCCTTGGTTGAATGGGCAATAAAATATGTTGCCGGTTGTGCTTGTTCCCAAACAGATGTTAGCTGGGACCCTAGGCTACAGAAGTTTCAGATCATTATCATTGTTGTTGATTTTTTTAAATTCGACTGGGCTTGCTTGCTTTAAAGAAGTCTTGGAAACATCTGTGTGCATGGTAGACATGGCTATTGTCTCATAGTCATCATCCCGAGACCGGAAATCACAAAAGTTAAAGAAGAACTGCAAGTCCCTCTGGAAATTTTTGTTCAGGAATCCATAAAATATGGGGTTGACACAGGTGGATATCATTGCAGTGAGGTGGCAGAGCAGGAAGAAGAGATTATGGTTGCACACAGCAATAACCTGATGGTGCCAATCAAACACAATGTTAAAGATGGTCAGAGGAAGCCAGCAGACTGCAAATGCTACTACAATGGACAGAAGCATGATGTTGATTCTTTTGGTTTCATTGGACCTGCACTTGTTGTCTCTCATCCTGTCCATCATGTTGTTTCTCCTTTTTAACCGTATATATATCTATAGAGGGAAGGGGAAAAAAGTGAGTTCAAACAGAACCACTCATTTAATGAAGAATTCTTTTGAAAGAAGATAAAAAATGGAAATGGTGAGGGAGGAAGGAATTTTCTTACCTTGAAGTAGCAGATAAATATAAAACAGAGTGGGCCAAAATACTGCAGCACCAAGAGGAGAGTGGTATAAGACAACCTATGAAATTCCGATGGAAATTTATCATAGCATACGTATTTATCCTTGTAGCCATCAAGGGTAAAATTCTGGAGAGGTTCATCCGTCAAAACTTGATAGATCAGGAAAGGTAAAGAAGAAGCCATAGCAAGAAGCCAAATGACAGCAATAGCTATGTAAGCATGCCTATTATTTGGTCTCCACCCTCGTGGGTTGATTATCAGCTGATGTCGTTCCACGGCAATGAGAACCAAAGAGAAAATGGACACAGTGATTGAAACACATTGCACAAAAGGATTCAACTTGCACATCGCCTCACCAAAAACCCAATGGTCCATTATTGTGTAGACAAAAGTGAAGGGGAGACACATGATGGCAACAAGCAAGTCTGAAAAGGAAAGGTTCACAATCAGGATGTTGGTAACGTTTCTCATCTCTTTTTGTCTCAAGATGATTACAATTAAGGCCAAGTTTCCAGTGATCCCGAGAATGATCACAGCTCCATAAGCTAGAGCTAATGTAAATATCATGGCCAAAGGCAGATGGCAATCATCAATTTCAAAAGCCAAAACTGTGGAATTATTCTTTGAAAAATTATAGTTGATTGAATGATTTTCAACCTGGAAAACTATTGTTGAATTCATTTTGATTGGTTCGGTTATTATCAATCCCTTTAGACAAATAGACAGTATGTTTCTTCAAAGCAGATCAAATGTTCAGCTTATTCTTATTCCCCATATTGGCATCCACTTATCAAAATTATTCTGAATTCTTCGTCCCTTTGAACTGAACAATCTGTAAAGAGAAAATGACTGATTGCATTACTAATTTTAGTGAGGGCAGGCAAAATGAACTATAACTCATAGCACTGTTTAAAACTCATAGCACTGTTTAAAGTGAAGACACTGAAATAAATAAACAAATGATATTTGTATAAATATCTTCTTAAAATAGCATTCACAGTGCAAACATTTTGAAAAAACTCGCAAAATTTTTAATCGGACAGGCTTACACATTGAGTTTGCAGCAAAATAGATAGTGAGTGGTCTGTGCGTTAGTAAGGTGTATATAAATCTCATGTTCAAACTCTTAATATAAACAGTACTATCAGCACATTCCTAAACACTGTAAGAATATGAATATATAACAAAAAACGTACTGCACAGCTTAAAATGTAAGAAAAATACATGAAACAAGCAAAGAAAACAACAACAACATAAACAAAATTATCCAATCCTTTCTCTTACAATAGAAATGAAATTCCTGTGGAGATCAAGTTGTAATAATAGCTCTTCCAAAGACTGAACTCTTTAAGGCAGACATTACTTAACAAAATATATTTTTAAATGATTAATACAGTGAAACATCAAGATACCTTGTCATATGAAGGGCTGATGAAGGAATAGAAGATGTGTAATTCAGAAAAACTTAACAGAAATGGTGCCTTCTTATATTTGAGTGAGTAGCATCTGGCATAAGAAACTGGGCTTAGAATATTATGTCTACATGTACAAGTTAGAAGTAGAACCAAAGAAAGTATGTTATATTAAAAGAAAACAAATTTCACACCATTATGAGGAACAAATGTTTAATCAAATGGAATGAACTCCCTGCAAATGTAGCAAGTGTCTATACACCCAAGTTTATAACTACTATCTGTAAGACTGTCTGGTTCTTGCATTTGTGTAGGATAGCTCTGATGCTCTTTCTAACTGTAGGATTATATGAGTTTATTAATTTGTCAGAAGCTTTCAAAGGGTTTCTTCGGTTCTATTTTTATAAATATCCTCCCTCCTCTCTAGACTGTATACAGATACAATGTAGTATCTAATTTTGGTTATCATTTTGATCCTTCACAACATTTTTACCAACAAAACAAATTACAGACCATAGTTTTGTAAAGATTAAAAACTCCCTTTGAAAAAAAAATACCTGGTTCACCCTAGATTATTAAGTAAATATATGATATGAGATTCCTTATGTTATCAGGCCACTGTGCCTATGTTAAGAAAGGGAATTTAGTTTGTTTTTTGCTTATGTGAAGACAATAAAGGAAATCAGGCAGATTTACTTCCCTTGAAAAGAAGATAAGACATTTAATGAACCAACAATATGTTTGTCTTTTAAGTGGTGTCTCTAATGAACCTTTATTTGAAGCATTTTGCTTTTTAGGATGTGGAGTGTTTTTTTAATTTTACAACCACAACTTGAATTTATAAGACAAAAGTAATAAAAAATAAAGGTTATTAACATTATGTGAGAAAGTATTAAGATTAGGGATAGTAGTGGAATGATTTTTAACTGTGAATGTTATTAGAAATATAATTCCTCTCTCCTCTATGCAACCTGTAATGACTCCTAAACATAAGTGGTAATCACAGTTTTTCTCTCAAGAATATCAAAGGCAAGAAAGAATGACCCATCTCTAGTTTTCTGAAAACAAACCTTGAAGAAAAAAAAAAAAAAAAGGAATAATTTAAACATTCTTTGGAAAATTCTTACTTAAGAATTCAAGAAGTACAGCTGGTGTGGTTCAGTGGTTTAGCATCCGCACATGAACCAGAAGGTCAGGATTCAATCCCTGTTCAGGGCAATGCCCAGGTTTTGGGCTCCATCCCCAGAAGGGGGTGTGCAAGAAGTAGCCAATCAATGATTCTCTCTTGTCATTAACATTTAATTTCTCTCTCAGTCTCCCTTGCTTAGTAAAAACAATTTTAAACAGTAATTAAAAAAAGAATTCAAGAAAACTTTGCATTATGCTTCCTGTTACCAAGATAGCTGAATAGGACAGTGTATCCTCTTTTTTCTATGACTTCTTATGGCTCCCTCACACTGAGTACCACCAGGTGAAAAGGTACCCAGGGATGAGATTTGAACTGTTGAGTACATGCCTCAGCCTGAAGGCCTCTGCATTCTGCCTCTCTTCTGCTTCTCACTCTTTGCTCTAATAATCCCATTGTGAATGCTCTGTTCCAGGTAGGCCAGTCTCTTCACAGTCCACTAGTACTCTTTGCTTGTTTTAACACCTTCAACCTTTACTCCTGCCATTCCTCTTGCTGGTTATTCTGTCTCGTTACCAGTCCAAGTCTACCCATCTTTCAAAGTGCCATTTAGTCCCTGAATCCTTAATTGGCTCCTGTCGATTATAATATAAACTTTTTTTTTTCTGGTAGGTATTGTGTATACCTCATAGTGCCTTCAAATATTAGATTAAGGATAATTCTGTGTCGACTGACAGCAGATGCATGATTGGAACAGCAGGTTCTTCTCTGAATTAGTCTCCAGCAGCTGAATTCCATCCATCTTTTTACAAGCAAAATGGACGCTAATTCAATATTTTAATTTTTTTCTCTTTTTTGATTTTTATTTTTATTTATCCATTTTTATTTTATTTTATTTTTTTAGTCCTCACCTGAGGATATTTTTCCCATTGATTTCTAAAGAGCGTGGAAGGGAGAGAGGAAGGGGGATGAAAGAAACATCAATGTAAGAACCAACAATATGTTTGCCTCCCCGACATGCCCCTACTGGGATTGGGGCACCTTCATGTGAAGTACATGTCTTTGACAGGGAATTGAATCTGGGACACTTCCATGCATAGGCCGATATTCTAACAACTAAGCAAAACCAGCCAGGGCTGTTGATTGCTATTTTTGAAAGTAAGGAAGAGAGAGGGAGACAGAGAGAGAAAAATTGATGTGACAATGGAACATGGGTCAGCTGCCTCCTACAGAACGTGGCCACAAGCCTTGACCAGGAATCAAACTGGCAACCTTTTGGTGAATAGGATGATGCCCAACTAACTGAGCTGCACCAGCCGAGGCCAATAGATATTTTATTTATTTATTTATTTGTTTATTTATTTATTTATTTATTTATTTATTTATTATTTTTAGTTAGGTCATGTATATAGGAAAAAATGTTCCACTTTGTGTTAAAAAAAAGAAACTTTTTAAAGGAAACGTCATTCCTCCAATGAATACTTAGTGGACACTTATTTTGCATCAGACATGATTTTAGTGGAGATGGTTGTGACATTCTCATTTAGTTTCTAGTCTTGTGGAAGATAAAGACAAAAATAAATGAGAGAGAGGGTGGGGGAGAGGGAGAGAGAGAGAGAGAAAGAGAGAGAGGGAGGGAGAGAGGGTGGGAGATAGTATGCCAGATGGTAATAAGTGCTGTGGAAAAAACTAAAGCAAGGAAGAGGAGCTGTGATTGTTGGGAATTGCAATTATTCCTGGGTGGTAGGGAAGACCTCCACTTGTCTGAGAAGATGGGAGGGGGCCATGCAGAGATCTCAAGGATTGCACCCCATATATCAATAGATGGAATATAAAATCCTAAAGCTGTATACCTGGTGTGCTAAACAGTACTAGAAAAGGTAAGCAGAGGAGGAACAGATGTGTAGGGACCAATTCCTTGGGACAGTCTTTGACTTCTTCTCTGAGAAAGATGAGGAATCACGGAAGAGTCTTCAATAAAGGCCTGAAGTTACATAACTTGTTTTACAAATTTTGCTCTAGCTGCTGTTTTCAATAGACTGAAGAACAGGAAAGAAAAGAAGTAGGGAGATTCATTACGAAGCCAGTGCGTTACTCCAGTTGAGAGATAATGAAGGTGCAGACCAAGGTGTTGGCAGAAGAAAGGAAGAAAAATAGACATTTTACATCCACTAACTTTGACAAAATTCAATACATATGGGAATTAATGCAAACATTTATTAAACTATCACAATGTATGGGCTACAAAGATAGCCTTCTTACATGTGATTTTAGGTAAATATACTGAAACCCTACTTTAATATCTTTAAAATTATATTTGATGGACTTTTCCTATTCCTACTAAGTTAAATTAGTTATAAAGATAATGAAACTATTTTTTTAAAGTATTTGCAAGCCTCTTTTGCTAAGTGCATTGTTGGATAGTCATTCCAGTTGGATAAAACAGTTCCTCATTGAATAAAATGTACTATATTTTCAGCCTACTTTAGTATAATTTCAAGAAAAAGCAATCGTCCGAAAACAATACTAGGAGAGAAAGGGTTTACACACATTACCTTTGGGAAAAAATTTAATATTCATGATTACAACATATATTTCTAAAGTAAGGAATGCAACTACAGACACTGCAAAAGTTAAAGCTTGTTAAATCTCATAGCTGTCATGTGCATTTACAGACAAAATAGAGACACACCACACACATCACCAGTTGGCAAACCAGCCCCTTTCCAAAAATACATTTCTTTCTCCTTCCCGATTAGAACTCTGGCCTTTCACCCCTTCCTTGCTGTTCTTGGTGCTGCTACTCCCTGAAAATACAGCTTTCTGCATTTCAGAGCCTGCTGCAGATAAATGTGTTCATGGTCCCAGAATCAGCTGCTCGCCTCATCAGTTTTGGAAAAGAAATATCAGTCTCGCACAAGCAGCCTCCCAAAGTTACTGCAAGTTTAACTGGATAAGTTACATAATTCTCTGTTCCTTTCTCTCCAAGGCGGGCTTGCTCAACAGACAGCTGCCTTCAAACAATAAGGAAGACTAATACATCACAGTCACCCACCAAAGGGCCCTGATCTATAGGCATGGGTGGGGAACCGAGCTGGGCAGCTTTCTGTTCTCTCTTGCTTCATGGGGAGACAGCCTGGAGTCTTGGAACTGACAGCCATGGTTTCTATCCAAGCAGAGAGAGACAGACAAGCTCCGCACTTACCCTGCGTGTAGGCCACTTAGCGAATTATGCTTTCCCCTAGGATCCAGGCGGGCATGGCAAATCTGAGAGCTCTTTTAAAAAAAGAAAGAGGGGGGGTTGAGGGGAAGAACACTCCCGGCTCTTCTCCCTGAGGTTTTTGCTGCTTAGGCGCCCACCGTTTTTATAATTGTGTAACTAGGTTAACTACCCCCAATTTCTCTCATTTCTAACTCCCGCCCCACCCCCCAACACACACATCTGCCATACATCTATTAGGGAACAACTCTGCTTATGGTGAGGAGAGACTGTCAAAACAGAAAACATCCCAACTAACTAAAAACAAACGAGCAGAGTCCACCCTGGGTCAATTCTCTTCGGCCCAACATCAGCCCTTAAAACCATATGACCCCCCCACCCCCACCCCCACCCCGAACGTCCCTAAAGCCACCCCCACCTTCATTCAGCCCATCTCCTAACCCGGCCAGGCTCCCAGCATCCCTGCTCTCCATGCAGCTGGAGTTAGATGACTAGAACCGGGGAAACAGGAGGAGAGGGCTGGAGCTTGGGAGCGAGGTCGGCTTGGGAAGGCGCAACGCAGGGGGGGTGGGCTCCAGTGCAGCCCAGTCGCAGGCTCCCCCAAGTGTCCCAGGGAGTAGCTGGAGCCCCCTCTCCCCCTTATCCACCACCTGCTCCCTACCCCGTGCCCAGGGAGGGAGTCTAAGCGGGACAGCCCGCCAAGCCCACCTTCCCCAGAGCATCCCAGCACTGGCTCCTCTGGGAAACTCCAGGGCAGCCTCCTGGCAGATGCTCCAGCGGCTCCGGAGAAATGCGGCAGAGGGGCGCGGAGACGGGGACGGGGAGGGGAAGAGCCCCAGGGCGCCTGCCCTCCCCCTCGGAGAACCCGAGGAGAGGAGAGGAGAACTCGGATGCCGCCGTCCAGAAACCCTCCCTCCGGAGCCCGGCTGGCGGAGGCGCCCCGTCCGGGCTCCCTGCGCCCCTCCGGGAGGCAGGAGCCCCGGCATCGCCAGGTCCAGCACCTGCCCGCCCGCCCGCCCGCCCGCCCCGGGACCCGAACAGAGAGGCAGGCTCCTCGCCCCACCTCGGACCCCAGAGCCAAGTCCGGGCTCTCCCTTGCGCTTTCTTCCTCTCCCATCCCTCACTCCCACCCAGGATGGGATTTCTCTGCGAAGTCCCTGCAAAGGTGTCAACTTGAAACTTACCCTGTGTGCGATGTGTCTTTTCCCCTCTGTTTATGGGAGCGGGAAGGATAGCTCTGCACGGGAGCGAGCCCGGAGGGGAGGACAGAGCCGCTGGTATGTCTCCGGCTCAAACCCTAAAGATTGATGGAGATAAGCAGGGACGCCCCCTTAAAGCCGAACTCCACCTCATTCCCGGGTCACGTGGCTCGCCCCCGGCGTGCGCCCGGAGCTCCCCCGCCCCCCCAGCAAACGCCTAACCTGGGGCGTGCACCTCGGGGTGCGTTTCCTAGGCGTTCCGGGAAGAAATGCAATTGCATCCTCGCCTTGCTCCGGCTCGGCTCCGGCGCACGCGGTGAGACACAGGCTAGCGCCGCGGAGGGAAGTGAGCGCCGGTCCCCCGGGTCCCGGCCTCCGCGCGGGCCGGCAGGGAGGCCGGGCGGCTGCAAAGGGGGTGCCCGGCGCTCCTTTGTCTGCAGGTCGGTGCCACCTTGTGGCCGAAGTTATACCGCTCTGACAACCCGCGGCAGCAGGACAAATAGGGGATACCTCAATCAATAGAGAAATTTAACCAAAAGAGGGGGGAAAAAGAAGGAAAGGGCTTGTTATCTATGGGAAGAGCACACGCGAAGTTCACAGCCACCACATGCCACTGGATGTTTCATGCTTTCTCTTGTGACGTTCAAGTATTTCTTATGCCAGTGCGGAGGTTTTTCCCCTTCAATTTTAAACTAAAGAGAAGACTTAAAAAAAAAAAAAAAAAAAGGCAGAAGCGAATCAGATGGAGAGTCTGGCCTCTTACCCCAGCTTTCTTTCCACGGAGAAAAATGCACTGAGTCGGATCGATTTGTTCCCACAATCTGGCTGCCTTTTTAAATTTTTATTTATTTATTTTAGGGGAGCACGACGACCGGAACATTTCCAGGGTGGTCAAAGGGTTAATGCCGTTTCCTTGGTGTTCTACAACTGTACTGAACATCATGAAGAGAAGAATTGAATGTGCACAGAGTGTTGATGCAAAACCATGACGGTGCCCCATAATTCAGGCTAATAATCTGCTGAGCTCAGCTGTTTCACATGGTTCTGTTCTATTTTGAAAAGTCAAAGGTGTGTCATTCACACACCCCAATTATTTACTGGTGTAGATGAATGAAACTTTTTCCAAAACCAACTGTCAAAAACTAAAGTCTTCTGAATAAAGATACAGGACACTGCCTAGGGTATGTATAAAGGTTTTATTGCATAACAACTATGATTACATTCTGTCTTCAAAATAAAAGCTAAACAAAATTCCAAGACACTGTTAAGAAATGTTTTCTTTTCCTGGTTGTTAGGCTGAATAAACACTATTTACACCTCAAGATAAGCCATAACTCATTTATTTATACAGAATGATGTACATAAGCTCTCCTTTTTGTTGCAGGAAAGCTTTTACACTGGCAGTTCTCATTAGACATTTTTTATATAGTTGGGAAGAGACATGATCAAGAATTAAAATATCATAATTATGTAATACATGTACTATAATAGATATGAACATACATTTAAAAATATTCCATTAATGGTTAAACAGAATAGTATGATATAATATGTATTTTCCTTTTTTTATCAAGGATGAAAATTAAGGCAAAATTTAGAATTTCAGTCCTTTTAAAGGACTCATTTATGTTTCCACTCACCTCTGTTCACTCCATTTAAGTCACATTCTGTTCTTAGAAGCAAGTTAACCTAAGGTGTTTGTCATCAAATTGGCTATTTTTAGCCTATTGCAAGAATTACAAATGAAAAGTGCTCTAGGAAGAACTCATTTTATTAAACATTTTTATTAAACAAATATTTTGGAATTGAGTCTTTAATTTGGACACACTCCTTTCTGGATTTTCCCAGAATATTAATAAAGGCATGTCTGTAAAAATGTATTTTGTCATCTTATAAACTTAATTTTTATAAAGTGTCCCCCAAAGGCAAATTTATAAAGCTGTATTCTTGAGATAGTCATATCAAATACCAATCTTTGAGAGATTCTCGGTCTCAAGGACTTTTTCTATGTCAAATTTTATAGTATAAACAGAAATTTCTATGTCAAATTTTATAGTACAAACAGAAATGTTCCCCAGAACAGCAAAATCATTTCATTGTAGGGATATACCATTTAGTAAATACTCTTTCCAAAGTGTAAAATAATAAAATAAAGCACAGAAAAATCATCAAATATAATGTAAGATATTCTTATGATACTAGTATCCCTGCGTAGGAATACATGCGCTAGAAGCTCACTGCCGCTCTTCAGTAGCTCCCCCTTCTCCCTCCCCAACACCCCCCTTAGCTTGCTGCCCTGCCCACTCCTGTATCTCAGTGCTGCCCTCCTCTAGCTCTCTGCCACCCACTTGTAGCTTGCTGCCCCACCCTCCTTCTGATCCATGATCTGGCTTTTATGAGGTTGGTCATTATGCTTCACAGAGTAAGACCATTTGCATATTACTTCTTTATTATATAGGATAGTCTTGGAAAGTTTGAAAAAAAATAGTCTGAGTTCCTCAGAAGATACATGTCAAAGAGTAATCGGAATTCTTCAAAAGATGTGTTGAAAAGAAGATATGTATTAAATAAAGATAATTTATTTTTCTACTTTTAAGTGGTCAGTCATATACCTTCCTATTTGGGATAAACAAAAAAAAAATCTTTGCTAGGGAGAAAGATTTTTGTGTGTGTGTGTGTGTGTGTGTGTGTGTGTGTGTGTGTGTGTTTCCTTCTGAAATTTCATGACAGCCTGACCTATAAACCATGACTAGGATAATTAAATTAATGACCTATTCTCATGTCATCTTGAGCAATCATCTTATGTCACTTAAACAGAGGGATAGAATCTATTCATTGAATCTGTATAGATCTTAGTTTTATCTTTTACAAATGGAACATCTTTATGGGCTTAATTTTTAAATTCCATGATTCAATAATTGTCTAAATAAAAGTGTCACTATACTTGATATAATAATTATTCACTGCAATTGCTCTATTGATCACCTGGTAAGTTCTGCTAGGAAGGTTAAGGGCTTGAAATGGGAAAATTATAATAAACTATCATTCAGAAAAATCTCAATAGCCATGTAACTGGATATGTAACTGGGAAACTAGAATATAGATAATACTGATAAGGGAGAAAGTCCAAGGGTAGAACTTACTATGCAGCATATTGGTAAATCACTTCACATTCTATGACTTAATTATGTGCCAGTTTTCCCTTCTTTCTGTGACTTCTCTACTGCGTTTCTTTGAAAGTTTAATCCTATGCAGTGTAAGTTGCAATGTTATTTTATGAACCACTAAGAAAGAACAAAAATGCTTTCAGTAAAGCAATAACGTACATTTAATTGTAAATTAATCTCAAAGATAGAGTATTAAAATGTTAAATAAATAATCCTCATCTTAGAATCTTTGAAATGTAGTCAGTAAAGAGTTTAACTAAATTGCTTTGTGTGAATAGCCTATACAATCACTTTACTCAATTGTCTTTTTGAGAGAAGTAACTAGCAGGAAGAAATAACAATGTAGTTAAAATGGTGGTATACAAGTACATAGACAAACAATTCAATTAACTTACCAGGCTAGAAGACACCAGCTGCTATTTATGGATTTATTCTTGATTTGAAATAGGAATGCACTTCAACAAAAGTTATCATTTGGTTGCATAGGCTACAAATGTAGAGCATTTGTTTTAAAACTGTCAGAACAAGAAGCCAGAGGACTGGGATCTTAAACATTATTTTGTAAATATCCAAACATTTTCCTGCAGATCTCATCTAGTCAGACACCCTTTGGACATTCAACAAAAGTATAATGCTATTTTACAAAAGTATAGCATTTTGTTTTTGTGGCATGTCTAATGAAAAGACACTTGGTATTTTCACAATTGTTGTTTTAAAATTATAATTATTACTATTCCCTTCATATCTCTTTTTAAAGAGATGTGCAGTACGATTGGCTGCTAAAAAGGGAAAGTATGAATGCTACCACTGAATCTTCCATCATCTGAGCCAAGCTTCTCTCACTGTTCATCTTGCCTCACTTCCACTCCCCAACCCTCTCCCACCTCTGAAACCTCAGGCTTGAGATTGGTACCAAATCCCTTCACAGCGCAGGACTTCCGGAGATGGGGCAATCTCTCCCAAAGATAGCAAAAACGTTCCTTGTGTGCACCTAAATGAGATCACTAATAGGCACAGAGGTGGTATGAAGTGTTCCCAGGTATCACTTTGCTTAGGTAAGTTATCCTCTCTTCCTTCCTTTGTGTAAGTGTAGCTGTTGCTTTTCTTTCCCGAGATACTTATAAATCCGGGAAGAGGATAAATATCCAAGAATGGGCTCTGGCATAATCTGACTCTTCTCAACACAGGAGACTATTTAGCTACCACTTTCTGCTAGCATAGCATGTAGGTGAAGTTGCACAGATGATTACAACTATAATTTCAAACCCTGACTTGAGCTTCAAATATTACCTTGAAATTCTTGGGCTTGGGTGGCTCCCAATTTCTCTCTTACAAGATATTTCAAATTGTCACCACTCTCTTCCAGCCTTCTACCCCATACCTTCAGTCTCAATGGTCTCCTCCCTTCCTTCCAAAGTGAGTATAAGCCACAGGATATTTACTTGCTAATTTTTACATCCCTCAATTGGGCAGCAGATCCTCCAGCACAGCTGTTTCAGGCCCCAGACTTTGAGTCACTATAACCCACAGAGTTCTCTCAGCTAGCAATCCAAACATCATAGGAGAGAGACAAACCATCATCATTGGGCACTTCCTCTCAATCCATGAGCATAAAATCCATGTTATTTTATTCTATTAGATTTGGGGAGGCTTGTTAAACATCAGTAACATAACTATAACACCTGTTTATTCAATAACTAGAGGCCTGGTGCACGAATTCATGCATGGATGGGATCCGGCTGGCTGCCCCTATTAGGCTGATATTGTGACAGGTCAGGCTGCCAGAGGGAGGGGCCTCAGGCAGTTAGCAGACTCCCATCCTATAACCGAACTCACAGTCAAAGGGACAATTTGAATATTAGCCTTTATTAGGTAGGATTCCATTTTCTTGGCTTAACACTAAAATAAAAACAAAACCAAAATTATTCACTTTTTTCCATTCTAATTTCTTCACTCATAGCTTCTCTGGCTGCTTTCTCTTGCCTGGGAGCTTCTCCAAGGATACTTTTATTGTCCTATCGTTTATAGTCCACCTGAAACTGTGTCAGCCTCAGACATCAATGGCTGAAGCCAATAGACACAACTCAGACTTGTTCCACTTATTCTTTAAGTTGCATTA